TGCAGTCTCTCCAACGTGGATGCATCCTCAATCTAAAAATAGAATGGCTGTCACTCCTTTCAAGTGCAAAAATTAATCAGAAATAACAATTATATCACAAAGCTATCATGGCAGAAAGTTTTAAGAGGACACACTTGCAACATTTCCAAACCTTACACCTTTGCTAAATAATAACAAACCTCTATCAGTAGCACTCATACCTGGTGTAGCACTTTCCCTATCTCTTCATCTGTGATGTCCCCTATAGGTGGATTGAAACCGGACTGCCCTGAGATGTGGCTGACCACATCTTTTGAAAGAAAATTTGGACCAGGTCCACCATGTAGAATAGACATGGCAAACAAAGCAGAGAAAAGGGGCTTAAATTAGTTTAGATTTTTTTTTCTCACATATTTAAATACACTGTTCTGTCCATTCAGCTGTCTGTAAAATAGCTGATTCCATCTAAGTGTATAATTAAAGCACCAAAGAGAAATCCCACTCCATGAACACTGTGATACCAGCCCTTTCTGTTTTACTCTGCAGAAGTATACTGATCTCATTTGCAAGGAGGGGCATGCTATGCTGCTCTTTTAAAGTCAAAATTCTCTAGGCAGTAATACAAATGGGATACTTTGCAGCAGGCAAATTTACTCCCCCTTTCCTTGCATTGACTGTAACCAAATCACATAGTTTCTGCACCATGTGGAGAACAAAATACTGTATATATATTTTTGCTGACCAAAAACAGTTCATATACAACATTTATATATATATATATATATGTTCGTACCATTTGCACTTCCTTCTCTCTCGGGTAACTGCCGGCATGGTCTCCGATCGGCTCCGTGTTGGTGTAGTGCGTCTATGCGTGTCGCCGTCTCTATGTAAACCCACAGAGATTCTTTATATATATATATATATTCAGATTTTCATCCATATATCCAGACTTTCATTCCATATATTTAGACTTTCATTATATATATCCAGAGTTTTAGAATAAAAAAAATAATGAATTTCATGACATTGCTTTTGACTATTTAAAAAAAAAAAAAACAAGCACACAAGCGTGATGGGAGCCGTAAACTAGTATTTTGTTGAACAACCCTTTAAGGCAATCACTGTAATCAAGTGTTTTCTGAAACTCTCAATCAGACTTCTGCACCTGTTGACAGGTGTTTTGATTTTGGCCCACTGCTCATCAGCAAAGGGCTCTAATTTGTCCAGGACAGTTTTGTTTGTTTTTAATTATTATTTTCAACCCCAATTCAGAAGCAATGTTTTATTTCACTAAGTTTATCTATTTCACTAGGTATAAAGGGATTTATAGAATAAAAAATTACTAGAATCCAATACGGTATTTTCTGTTGTTTAGAAGGGACCTGAGCTGTTAGAACAATAAATGAATGATGAATAAAAAAGAAAAACCAAATCAAAAAACTGTTAACAGGATTTGTTTCAACATTTAAACCTCTTCTCTACACTTATGCTGCAAACTAAATAAAAGTGATCTGCATGACACCGTCAAACAGAGACTCACACACTCACTGCCTTTCTTGAGGAACTTTACATGACAGTACAAACATGTTAGCACATCTACATACTTCTGGCTGAGGCTGACTCTCCTTTTGGAAGCTATGTTGCCCGCTGCACTTTCTAGCACAGAGTGAAATGTTGCCACAATTTAAAAGATTTCGGTCAAACCATTTTCACCACCAATGAAAAGAAATTGACTGCTGATATCCGTGCATTGTTATCAAGGCTGTCAATGTATAATGCTGTCGACGGTTACATAACTATATATAAGAAGTTCAAGACTTACCTTCAGTCCACAATTTCAGCTCCACTGTGTCCCACTTGCAAAGCTGCAGAGCTAACGGTCCCAACCGACAAGGCATGTGTCCCACAGTGACGACTATATAGTGTAAATAGTGTAATATACACTACCGGTCAAAAGTTTTAGAACACCACACTTTTTCCAATTTTTTACTGAAAATTATTCAGTTTCTTGTGTCATTGCATTCTGAAATGAAAGCATAGAACAAACAAGCAATTTTAGTTGAAAAACAAATCATGGAATCAATTTATGGACCAAAATATATTCCAAACTTTTGACTCATCAAAGTAGCCACCTTTGGCAGATATAACAGCTGAACACACTCGTGGCATT